GGGAACTCCAGCCTATATTGCACCAGAGGTTCTTTCACGTAGAGAATATGATGGAAAGGTATCTAGTTTCTGTTATGCAGAAGATTTAGTTCGTGACAGAGAGCTTTGACATGCCTGCATGGCACATGGACTCACACAAACACACATGGAATTCCTCTTATAAAATATAAATATACGTAGGAATATGATGGATGATAAGAGTTTCTTTTGTCCAAAGGAAGAAAAGGTATATCCTTCTTGTTGCCGGTATCATGAAAGGAAAGAAAATAGTTATTTAGAATGTTATTTTTTAAGTAGACGCTATCTAGCATTTTTCATGTCAAGATAGTTTTAGTTCTTGAGGTATTTTAGGTGTAAATCTGCTTTAGGCACATTTCTATCAAATAGCGAACTCACTTTTTGAACACTTGAAACCGTCTTTTATGGCTTTTATAATGCTTCTTGTGTTCCCACTTCGTCAAGGGATTGTCTGTGCCCCAGTTTTTTCATCCTTTCCATCCTTTGTGGCTTGTAAGTAGCCCCAAGTAAATTGAATGAAACACATGAAAAGCTTATACGTTGCTGTGAGCCCCATTGTAAAGAATTAAAAATGTGTTGGCTGTTTGTAGCTCGTAGCCTCCTCTTTTAATATGTTTACTCATATATAAAGTTTTGACATTGTGTGACGAAGTTTTATAAGTATGATGCTGTCGTCACTGAAATCAATGTGCAATCAAAGTGTCTTGCGTTTGAGTGAATATATTTTATTTGCATGAGACGAAACAAGCAACATTGCATGCAAAATGAGTTCAGACTTACAAATACTTGTAGATGTGCATGGTGTTTGATGACTCTGAATCTACATTTCACTGGTACAATGTCATGAGCAAAATATACATGAAAAAAGCAGTTGGAAACTTATGATGCTCATCACATTTATGTTACTTACTGAAGCATGGGTGCGTAATGGTGCGATGTTCAAATGTTCTCACAAATTTATCCAGATAAAGGAGAGGGCTTTTATTTTGGTTGCCTATGATTGTTATGATTTCCTTATAATCTTTTGACTTGATCATATGATTTCCAGTGTTTGCATTATAATCAGCTATCCATGTTTGGCATAGGAAAAGATGGATATTTTTTATTTTTATTAATATAACTGGGGAGATTCGTATTGCTAATTACTTATGATGTTGTCAATGATGATTAATGTCTCTCTCCATCCATGCATGACCTTAATGGGCCCTGGAAGGAGTAAATGTTGCTTGATAGGTTCTTCTATTCTGCTTGCTTGTTTAGTTGGCTGATGTATGGTCCTGTGGAGTAACTCTTTATGTGATGCTGGTGGGAGCATACCCGTTTGAGGACCCAGAAGATCCCAAGAACTTCAGAAAAACCATAAATGTAATATTTCATTTATTTTTACCAAATTTATATAACATTAAGTAATGTGCACTCTTGCTGATTCTCTACATTCTTATCCAGCGGATTATGTCCGTTCAATACAAGATCCCAGAATACGTGCACATATCTCAAGACTGTAAGCATCTGCTATCGCGCATTTTTGTTGCAAATCCAGCAAAGGTATGCATTTATGTTAGTTTTGTTTATTTAATAAGTGAATCTCAAGCTATGGCATGAGGAAATACGTAATATCCCTTCTAGTATTTTCATAATTGCAATCACTTATGGTTGACTTGGTTTTTTTCCTTTTTTGGGTAGATTACCCCCGCCTCCTGGTACTTCCCTTAAACTAACACTTATCTTCCCTCTGTTTTGAGAAGCTACAATAAATCTCATTCGGACATGGGAGGCATGTGAGGAAGTAGGAAAATCCAGGGTAGTTTCATATATGAAAAAAAAAAAACCTTGTAATTATTTGCTGTTAGTTTTTTTCAATATAAATATACTAAATGGGCATTTCTTACTGCCCAACACAACATCATTAGGTCTTCCAAAATAATTCCTCTACATGTGATGTAGGACAATGTAAATATTACAGATAAAGGAGGCAGGAAATGTTTGAGGAAATAAAGGGAAGGGGGGAGAAAGTCAAGTGAATTATTTTATAAATGTTCAACTTTAGTAAACAATCAGAAGTCATAACCCTAATGACTAATGACTTTATCTAGAACTTAAAGATAACTCCTAGTATTTAAACATAAAAGATAATATTAAATTTCAATTTTAATAAACACAGTTAAATGTATTTATACCATTTGAATAAGCCAAAGCAACTAAAACATTATTTTTTGTCAAAATGAGTTGGTTTAGTTGATAAAGACGCGTGTTCAAATCTATGTATAGGGCACCTTGTTGTTGCTTTGGTTTTGGTGATAAGCTTCCAAGATCCGACATAGTTAATTTCAATTGGAAAAAATAAAAACAGTTCCTAATCTTTAATCCTTATGAATATGCATTTCTTATGCTTATTATTAGTTCCTAATTGATAAATAAATAATAATACCTTTCTAATTCTCTTCCCATTCTTCATTATCATTTGCTATGTTATTATTGGAGAAATTGATGCTCCTATTCTGTAAAACAGGGGTTTAGTGTGTTGTATCTTTTATTTTTATTTATACATTGTTTTTTATTCAGAAAAAATGTTATTATTAGAGAAAAGGTTTGTCCTTCCATATAACAGCGAACTGCAAATAAGTTGTTTTTTTCACACCATATTACAATTGTATTGCAGCGAATAAACATGAAAGAAATCAAGTCCCAACCATGGTTTTTAAAGAACCTGCCAAGGGAATTGACAGAAGCAGCCCAAGCTGTCTACTACAAGAAAGAAAACCCAACATTTTCTCTTCAGAGTGCAGAAGACATTATGAAAATTGTTGAAGAGGCCAAAACTCCACCCTCTGATTCCAAGTCAGTCGGAGAGTTTGGCTGGGGAGAGGAAGGAGGTGAAGGAGGAGAAGAAGAAGACAAAACAAATGAGGTGGCAAATGGTGAGGGAAAGGAGGATGAAAAGAGAGTCAAGGAGGCACAGGCCAGTGGCGATGTTAATGTAAGCTAAAAATATATTCAAGATGTTAGATAGTTAATTTGATTTTTTATTTCCATTGCTCCTGGATGGATGACTTGAAGTTGAGGGTTTTCCCCTCTGTACAAAATTTGATTTTCTGCATAGGACCCATAGTTGAATAAATGACTGTAAATTTTTCGTGTTGTAGAAGGTTGTGATTTGTAACTTCATGTTGCAAACCAGACTTTGTGATCTTGGGTATGAAAATAAAAATGGAGGTGTGTTTCATTTGTTTTCCTCTTTTGTTCTCTGACCTTTGGTCCTCTCGCCATGGACTTGTAATAATTGGGTATGATATTCTTGTTTCCTTTGGTTTTGTTTGGGGAATATTTTGTTTCTAGAGTGCAATGGAACATAAAGAAAAGAAAATTAGAATTAAGAAGTTAGTTTTGAAGATGAGAAATGCCTCTATGCTCATATACTAAAAATGTTGATAATAATAATAATGATAATAATAATAATATATAGTTACTTTGTAATAAATATTTCTTATCTTAGTTTTTTGTGTAATGAGAAGAACACTATTAGCATAGCATGACATTATCATAATCTACAGCAGAATCAAATAGATGTATCTTTTGGAAAACAAAACAAGTATCTTTCAAGAATTAAAATGATAGAGCACTTCCAAGAACCCAAATTTTAACCTTGATACTACTTATATTTTTGGAGAGTTAAAGGCCTGTATAAATGATTATATGTAGTTATTTAATTATGATTTACAAAATACGAAATAAATACATAAGACTAGTTTTATCTCAACTTATGTGAAACGTGTTTATAAGTTATTTTAATCATGATCCCAAATAGGACAAAAATGTTGGTTAGCTTTAACTTGCATCCATGAAAGTATAAAATAAATTTATATTAGAATCATAAGTAAATTACTAAATGTATCTTTTGGAAAACAAAACAAGTATCTTTCAAGAATTAAATGATAGAGCACTTCCAAGAACCCAAATTTTAAGCTTGATATTGCTTATATTTTTGGAGAGTTAAAGCTTGTTTGAAATGACTTATATGTAATTATTTAATTATGATTTACAAAATATAAAATAAATACGTAAAATTAGTTTTGTCTCAATTTATATGAAATGTGTTTATAAGTTTTTTAATCATGATCCCAAATAGAACAAAAATGTTTGTTAGCTCTGCTTGCATCCATGAAAGTATAAAATAAATTTATATTAGAATCATAAGTAAATTACTAATTTTTTTGTTAATGAAGTTTGGTCAAAAAGGTAAATACACAACACATAACACGTACGTGTGAGTTTAAATATCATTACTAAAAAAATTGCTGGTATATAATTTGTAACAATCATTATATGCATTTTTTTAAAACCGTAAAATCTGCCAAATTTTGATGAGTTCTTCACTTTTTAAATCGCATCAATCAAAAATTTATTCTTTATTGTTGCTTTGAATGAAAATTTGACCATATCTGATAAAATATGTGTAGTACGAAACATACTAAATTTTTTTACATGTATTTATATATTATTTAAATTTTTATAATTTAGCAGATATATATTTAAAATCTTATTTTACCATATATATGTCGGCTTTATTTTAATATATTTTATATTTGCATTTATTTATATATTATTTAAATTTTTATAATTTAGCGCATATATATTTAAAATCTTATTTTACCATATATATGTCGACTTTATTTTAATATATTTTAGGTACACACATATATGCTTCATATATGTGCATGCATGTATTAATACCTAAGCTAAAGGGGATTTTTTTTTTCCCTCGGCACAAGGGGGAAGGTCAGAGTTTGATTGATTCTAATGAATGTGGCAATAATGATTCCTAAGGAATGTTGATGGTGGATGATCAAACTTATTCTATATGACAAAGCAATTTGGATTCCTTAGAAATGGGCTTCCTGGAATCCAACCGAACAATCCCTTAATTTTGATGAAAGCATCAATAAAAGTAAGACTGAAATATTATTACTACAAAGATTTTATGCTTTTTTCCCTCATCAATAAATGGGCTTCCTGTTATTAAATTGATCTTTTCGTATCGAAGCGTCATTTTTCCGAAATAAAAAAACACCTAGTATTGCTTTGTTTTGCAGAGTATTGAGCATTGCAGGCATACTTAGACTTTAAAAGAATCATGTCCAAAGAATCTGCCATTCCATGTTTCTATTAATGAAGTTACTGAAACTCTTCTAATCTTTCGTCCATCCAAACTCTGAGCACAAATTGCAAATCTCAATCTGCAAGCATTGCTCCCATATCTGCAGAACTTGTGCTCATTTCTTCTGTAACACTGCCTTGCTTAATATAGTGTGCAAATTTTTGGTTTCTGTCAGAATACACTCTCTGTCAAATAGGGCTGAAACAACAGCAACACCCTTCAAATTTGGCATGCCGGTTTCCATTACAGCACGTGCATTCGACGGTCCAATGCCGCCAATTGCGACCACGGGCAGTTTAGAAGCCAGGCATACTTCTTTTAACCCATCTACACCTATAGTGTTATTGTTTTCCTTGGTGGTTGTGGGATATACACCACCACTACCAATGTAATCAGCACCATCAATCCATGCTTGTTTGGCTTGCTCTGGTGTCTTGCATGATACACCGATTATCTTTTCAGGACCAAGAAGAGTTCGAGCAACATGTGCCGGCATGTCAGACTGACCAAGATGAACACCATCGGCATCACAAGCAAGGGCCACATCAATGCGATCATTTATGAGTAGAGGCACCCCATAGGAACGGCATATTTTAAGGCATGCTTTGGCTGCATCCAAGAACTCTCTAGTTTCGGCATGCTTTTCCCTGTAAAAGAATAAGCAGTGTGCTATGAGATATAATTTTATCCCAACTACCCCAACTACCTGTGTTCTTTTCTTTTCTTTTTCTGGGCCACACCTAACTTCCTAAGTTCATGAGATAAACAAACAATAGTCAAACATGAATCACAGACGATACTTCAATGAGAGTGACTCAACAAGCACTTCAACGTGATTGGGATGCTAGAAAACATTCGTCTCAACCTTCTTAAGTTGGCAAAGCAAAGCCAGAAGTACGATTCAGAACCTAGGGACCGTTTGAGGATAGGAGTATTGGCTGAATGAGATCCATACATGATGCTTCGCAAAAATGAAGAGACTTGGTGGAAAAAATTATCGCATATGTGAGCTTGTCTACATGATATGCAATTCAACAATACCAAAAGGAGATAATATAAAGCTTAAGAAGCACTCCCTTGACTGAAAATATTTGATGTGAATCACGCAAAGAGTGAGTGAGGGAAAAAGAGAGGATAAAAGAGCAAAACTAGGGATAAGATAAAAGAAAGCTGAAAACAACAAGGATACTGACAATAGATCAAAGAATAAAGATCCGCTGTTTTTTGTTCAAGTTCAACTATTCAGACCCGAAATTACATCCGTCCAGAAGGGATAGGCAAAACAACAAGAGGTATTTGGTCATAATTCACGAATCCATGACCAAAAAGAAAAAAGAACATTTTCCTTATGATTTATACTCCACACAGATTACCAGATCTTTAGGATAGTTGACTGGGAATATTAAACCATAGCCAATGATATCTACTACGAAATAAAGATGGGAAGGAACCTACTTTTCTGTATCACAGTGATTATATGACTCAAAAAGTAAAGCACACTACAAGCATTAGATGACAAACCTTAATTGAACAATGGTAGCGCCTCCTTCTACAGCAGCTTTAACAGCATCGGAAATGGAACGGCCCCACTTTCTGTTCATGCCTGAATCCGTTACAGCATATAGCAGTAAGTCATTTGGATTGAACTTATCCTGTCTGCAAGAATTCTGATTGGCATTTTTAAAGGCAAAAAAATGATCAAAAGGGCCTTGGGCTCCATTTCCAATCACAATGTCTTTGCTGTAATCCAAGGCAGTCTCGATGAAATGTTTAGCCACCTGACACAACCCAAGAGGAAGAAAGAACTTCATGGATTTTGCTATATTCAAACATGTAACTGCCCCAGCACAGGGAGGACAACTTGCAAAGGCCTCATTAAACTAACATGAACTATCTTCATCTACAACACTTGCAAGAGCTGGGGATGGAGAATTCCTAGAAACTTGAAGGCTGGGTTCAACTGTATTCTTCACAATACAATTTTCATAGAAAGGTACAATCCCATTAATTGCATCAGCGGATGAGAATTATACTGACTTCAAATTTCCTACATTCTAAAACATACTAACCTGGAATTGTGCTACAGACGATACTGTTTTAGACCAAGGTGAAGCCATTAAAAAAAAAAATGCCAGTTCTCCGTAATAATTGATTCTAAATATCCATTCCCCCTCCTTAAAGCATACCCACACAAAGCATGCAAGTATAAAAGAAAACCATTTGTAAATCAATCACATGTTGGAAAGTTAAAGTAGATCGTTACAGTCATGCTTATTAAGACAAAAATAAATTCTGTACACTCAAACGTTATTTGGTTAAGATTCAACTCCAAAGCTAAATATGGACTCACTAAGTCACTATGATCATGTGCAAACATAAATAAATGGTCAACAAGTCAAACAAACAGAATATTAATAAATACGATATCTCTGGATATAGTGGTTAACAAACTGACCCTAACAGCTTCAAGTACCGAGGAACCTTTCGCCAGTTCTGCAGCTATGCATGATGCCAGAGTACAGCCAGTACCATGAGTGTTGCGAGTATTCACACGTGAAGAACAGAGCTCATAGAATCCCTCACCTGCAAAACTCAAGACCTAGAGATGGAGTTAATTTTAAACATGAATTTGGGCATACATCTTTGAGAAGGAAAAATAATTTTAAAAAAAAGAAAAAAAAAGGGAAAGGAAGAAGCTGCATCTCAGATTTAACGGCTTCAACCTTACCATCGAATAATACATCAATGGCGTCTGATGAATTGGGCAGGTCACCACCTTTGACAAGTACATTCCTGAAGTGAAAATAAATTATTTGCCAAATCACACTGTTCTTAAATTAGAGTACCCTACAATTATATTCAGCACCCCTCTCAATGACAAATATGCTTATACATCTTAATTGATTGTCAAGAAGCCAAACCTTTTTACATACACAACATTAGATACTCAAGCTAGAGTAAAATCATTGTTGGACGTCATACTTTTGAAAACAATTCAACAAATTACTCTATGCTATACACTTTAATTCACGCTCATATGAAAACTTTCAGTAAGAAGACCAATATGGCAATTCATTGTTATAGATTTGTCCTACCAGTAATATACAAATGGCTATTTTATTTTTCTCGATTTCACATTTTTGTGAAGCATTAAATAATTCTTTATAAGTTCCATGCATTATATCTCGTAAGCTCAAGCAGTACCAAACAAATGGTTTGATGTCCAAAGTCTACCTCTCATGAAGTGGAACTCTATGTACGAAGTAAATGAGCATTCATAATAGATGAACGATAAATGTTGATGCAGCAACTAACCTAGGACCCATGTCATGTATTAATTTTGCAGCAGCACGCATATCAGAAACTGATCTCACTGGCACGCCACCAAGTAAGACTGATGCCTCTTTTATATTGGGAGTTACAATGTTGGCCAAGGGAAGAAGTTCCTCCCTAAAAGATAAAAGCAATAACAAGCACAATAAGTTTCCATTCATTTTAAGGTAAAGTTAAAATAAATATAGACGCAGATTTTATCCTTTTATCAGGTATTATAGAAATACGATGTATGTATATTTCATGCCTTTTCTTTTTTTTTTTTTTTTTTGATCTTATACTTCATGCCGTAAGGATGTTTAGTAAAAGTTCAGGATCAGCAAACTAACCGAAATCCAGCTAGGACAGATGGACCAGCAAGTACATCTCCACTGGTAGATACCATGACAGGATCAACAACCAGAGCTGCCTTCAGCAACAGAACTAAGTCAGTCAGAAGCAACTCCACTCTCCAATAAAATAATAAACATAATTGTCACCCAAAAAAAAATAATAATAAACATAATAGCAATTTCTGTAAAAGTGAATACCCTTGACAGGAAATTCCCTGAGACTCTGACAAAGGACCCTCACTATGCCAGGAGACGGCAGCATGCCTGTTTTGACCTAGGCACATAACATTTAGTTTAGGAGGGAAATAAATCAGCATTTGAGTAACGAATACCTCACGTCATGTCAAGAAGAAACAGCTACACAAAAAAAAAATCTTTTATTTCAAATTTTCACAATGAAAGAGCATTTAAATACAATCATAACTTAATAAGCCACTGGGTTTAAAAATTATATTTCAAGATTACCATATAATTTAACTTTCACAATATGCCCACAAATTCATGACAACCATTTATTCTACTTCACTCTTGGAATGCAAACATTTGCATACAGGCGGTAACATCTTTATGCTTGCTTTATCAAACCTTTCTTTCTCTGTTTGTCACCTGTTTGTTCCTTAATTCTTTGGATACTCAATCCTATGAGATTACAACCAGCAAAATACTTGCAGCTAACCACTGTAGCACTCAGTATTTTGACTTACCACATCGACATCCATGTCAGAGAGCACAGACTTAAGCTGCTCAGCCACAAAATCCTCACGCATGATGTCCACCCCCTAACAATTTTAAGTTATTTGAGGATGGTTTTATCAAAAATTAGTGTCAAAAAGTAATTAAACTAAGCCAACTTACTAATTGTGTAGCCTAGTAAAAATATTTAGCTTAACACTTCTGTTTCAATTAACTTTATCATATAATATTTGCGAATTGTGAATTAAATTCTTGCCTTTTCTTCTTTAATTCCTCAGAAATGAACGTAAGCAAAAGCAATGGAATTAATATGAAACTTCAACCTGGACTCCAACAGTATTCTGTGCAGTGACAGCAGTGATCACGGTGGAACAGTAAACCATCCTAGCAGCACAAGCCTTCAGATCAGCTTGAATACCGGCACCACCCCCGGAATCAGAGCCAGCAACTGTCAGTACATGAGGAACTTTCATCTCTCGTTTCTGCATGGTTGCTGAAGATCGATCTGCTTGCACGTTCAAAACCACCTTCCTTGGATTATTCTGATTAGTTGTTGAATTATGAAACAGGAAGCTTGAGCTCCTTATTTGTTTAAACAGCAGGGGAGGAAACTGGATTGGATTTGGCTTGCGACAGCTCTAGAGAAAGAGAATAAATGAGGGGAGGAACGCAAAAGCATGAAATGTAAGCCTCAGTACACGGGAAAACGGAAGAAAAAACAGAAAGAAAGAAAATAAAGCATGCTCATCAGAAAAACCGTGACGTACAAAAGTAAAATGTTACTCTCCATTTGATTACTATAGAACTAGATGCTTCAGTCTTCAGCACTGAAATTACACATCGTCTAGTCTAGAAAAAGAAAATGCTTACGTAGTACTAATACTAATTCCCGAATGACAATGGTTTTGACTTTATTTTGGTTGCTTATTTCACAATCCATGCGTTCCTCTCGTCTACCAGCTGTCAATTTCTTACCGTTTACAGTGACGGCTCCAGAGAAAAACAAAGAAATGGACAGCTCGCCCGCCTTGGTTGATATCAAAAGCACAGAATTACATATATATTATCTCTACAAGCTCAGCTAAATTAAGCATCAGAATAAGGGGCAACAAAACAAGAGGTTGATACAGTTTCCTAGGTTCCTTCGTATGATCATTTTCCATTATTTTCCGAAGAACCAAAAAACTAAATGAAGAGAAGAGGCGTACCTGGGAATGGAAGTGCGCGGGGAGGAGCTGAGCGGAGGCCATGAATTTCCGACTGAATCGGGTCAGAGTTTTCAATTTCTGACTACTTTTTTGTTGACTGCGACCCGACCCGACGCACGGCGTGATGATGTGAGCCGTTTTTTTTTGAAAAAAAGGTTATACTATCATAAATACTCCTCCGGTCCTTAATATAAGATCCATTTAATTAATTTGATTAGATTAATGAAGTTAGGTAAGTTAGTTAATTATAAGAAAAGTGACATATTTTTCCTAAAACATCATAATCATCTTTCTTAATACCTCCTCTCCTTCTTCTACTTGATTATGGTTGAGGGAGTATCCATAGGGGTAATTTAGAGAAAATTGATAAATATAAGAAATGAGTCTTATATTTAGGACCAAAACCAACTTAAAAATTGGGTCCTATATTAAGGACCGGAGGAGTAGTATTTTTCAGAAAATTATACTACTTGCATGAATTTTTATTCAACTCAAATATTACCTACAATCCTAATATAAAATCTTGTTTATAAATTATAAATAAGGTCTGATATTTAAAACAGGAAGTAGTACTAAATTTACTAAAATGACTTGTAAAATAACCTAAATTATTATATACTCTACTTTTTGCCCGGTACTGTATATTCTGCTATATTAATGTTTGGTGTTAATTATAATTGTAATTTTTGGTTACATCTCCGTTTTTTTGAAACCCACTTAATACTATTTGGGTTTTTTAACTCCTCAAAATCAAAGTTAAAACCTCCCTTCTATTTTGAAAACATATATAAACCTCATTTACAATTAAAATATATGTTACATAAACCTTTCTTCTATATTTAATATTAAATTTCTATCCATCCAAATCGTTAGTTGACCGTTAAGTTTAATTTTAAATTATTTCTTTGATCAAAATGCCTCTTTTTAACTTAATAATTATTAGACATTTATATTTTGCAATACGTATATTTTATAAATTTCTAATATGTTACAAAATTTATTAATTTTGATCCAAATTATAAAATTTTATAATTTTAATATTTTATCACATTCATTAGAAATTATTTACTTTGATTTCTTTTAAATTGTAAAAATGTATTCTAAATACATAGTTTTTGTTTATCGTAGAGTTTAAATAATATAAGTTTAAAAGGTTTTATAAATTATTTAAACTTATAATTCAAAATTTTTGAAGACATTTTGTTACAAAAATTTATAAACATGTTTTGTCAATATATATTTATTGAAAAAATTAGTTAAATTTTTAATCAAGTCTTTTATGTTCACCTTAAATGAATGAAATTTATATGACTGTAAATACATAATTTAGAAATTTATTAGAATAAAGGGTAAAATAGTAAGTAAAATTTATTTTAATATAAATTTCAGTTAAAAATAATGTTTTTAGAATGTTTTTAGAATATTCCTAAGGGTGTTAACTTATTGGATTAAACTATATATTTTTAAAATAAAAAGAGAGTTTGTATAATTGATGCAAATTAAAAAAGTAGTCAGAATATTTTACTCAAAAAATAATGAAACACATTTTACATCTCCCGAAAGACCTCAAACAATAATGAAACACATTTTACATCTCCCGAAAGACGTTGGATAGTTAAGAAATTTTAACCATTTAAACGTAAGGTTTTAAATTTGAATTCGTATGGATACAGAAAACATCGAGGAAGGAAATTGCCGCTTTTTTTTTCCCCTAAATTATATTACCTATTGATATCAACATTAATGTTAATCTCAATATTATCATATTGAGCTTAAATAAAGGGAAAATTAGGGTTTGTTCGGTCTATTGTCTTGAAAATAATTTTTTTATTTTAAAAACACAAAAGCAAAAAAAATTGTTTAATAATTAAAAAAATAGTAACATTTTTTAAAAAAACTAAAAGCTCAAAACAACCTTTACATATCTTCTTGTCTTTGTTTTTATGTTTTTTTTTAAATTGGAGAAATTATTTTTCTCTTCTCATCTATTATCCGTTACCTATTATTATCGATGACAACTACCACTTATTTAAGTGTTATTTTTTGTTTTTTCAAATGTCTTTTTTTAAAATTATTTTCCGAACAATTTTTTGTTTTATTTCCAAAACTTGTTCTAAAAAATACTACCTCCGGTCCTTAATATAAGATTTCGTTTGACTTTTATTTTAGTCCTAATATAACACTGCAATTCACTTTGTCTCTCATATTTATACAATTTTTTTGAAGATAATCCTTCTAATAATTGTAGTTTTAGCCAACACACTTGATTAGTAAGGATATTTAAGGAAAGATAACACCTATTTATTACAAATAACTAACTTAACTTATTTTCTTAATTTTCTCAAATTAGTCAACTAGCTCTTATAATTAAGATCAAAAGTAGTAAGAAGCAGCCTTATCCCACTAGGTAGAGTTGGCTACATAGATCGCATGATGCTATTATACTCTATCAACAACCAAGTTTTTAGATATGTTATGGACCATAAGATCTCATTGAGCGTTCTCCTTGGTTTTCCTCTGCCCCTTTTTATAAAGCTCCAAGCTGTATAATCTACCCTTCTCATCGCACCTCCAATGATCTTCTTTGTATATGCCCAAACCATCTCAAATAATATTCAACCATTTTCTTTTTGATAAGCACCACACCTACTCTTACTCTAATATTTTTATTTCAACTCTTATCTTTTCCTATATAACCACACATCCATTTCAACAATTTCATTTCTACTACCCTAACTTATAAGCTTCTCAGGTACTTTCTTATCACAAATAACTCCTATAACCTTCCTCCACTTTAACCACTCAACTTGTATTCTATAAAAAACATCTCCCTCAATTTCATTATCCTCACATATAATGAATTCTAAATATTTGAACCTTGACATTTGATGAATAATTTAATCTCCCATCTTCACTTCCAAATCACCACAATTGATTTGCCTCCCCCAAAATTGAGAGCTATAACTTTTTTAGGAAATGGGATTTTACATTAGTTTTCCCTTAAATAAACAATAAAATAGAACCTTCAAATTATAGTGAATAACTAATCAAAATTTTAGAGACTAAAAGATTAATTTTCCTTTCCATAAACAACGGAATAGAGAGAAATACAAGACATCGACCAATTGCGTGCATTGTTTGACTACAACTACTCTGCTGCGAATTTTTAAGGATGTCTTTCTAATGGCTCCGCAAGGAATTTCCTTCTAATGGCTCTAAACAAGAGATGTTCGGGGGGAGCCACCCCCGGAAATCAATTTGACATGAAACACAAGTTATAGAAAAACACTGGAGTTGTCTTTCAAGATTCGTGTGACCCTTAAGGCAGAGAGAGAGAGAGAGAGAGAGAGAGAGATAGAGGAAAACCTCAAACAATTCAGAGAAATAACATTCTTAGACAAATATATACATCTCATTACTATACACTAAAAGAATTCAACAAGCTCAACAACAATCGATATCACCTATCACTTTACAACCCTAAGATACAGTGACAACTTCACGCTGCTATGTACAACCGTATTTTATTATTCCTGTACTTCCTGATTATTATTATTACTCATGTTATCAGTCAAATATTTATACCATGGTCCATGAACACTTACGGATATAGTGGCAGCCACAATCAAAACTTCAGCAGCTTTCACCACCCTTTCAGTCAGTAAACCAGCCCCTACCTTTCGGAGGGCCATTTCTGCTAACTTACTACCCTGGACCCCATTTCCGCCAAGCACGACACCTCGAACGGCTGTATAGACTGCATTGGACACCCTCTCAAACACTGCATCTCCAGCCTGTAAGCTCTTTGGAAGCATCCTGGCAGCAACTACCTTCATTTTCTGTAGTTTTCCTGCATCAATGTCTAAATCGCCACCCGCAGAGAAATCACAGATTACTTCAACGATATTGTCAACACTGACTTCTTGATCCCGGTCCAAGAGATCTGCAAGTTTTTCAGCACACTTTGATACTATGCTTTCCATTCCCACGGTGCTACCTACTGCCTTTTCACTCACAAGAATCTGGCGGCAAATAAGGATGCTGCAATTCCAGATAAAAATGTTCACCACTTAGAAACATACACAACATACTCTCTTAAATAACGGTTCAGATATACGATTTTTTGCGCACAATTTTTTGTGCCGCTTACCTAGTGGAAATAACAATAATCCTCTGAATTTGAGACTGAACAGACCTCAGCCTGAATAAGTTAAGTGATAAAGTTTCAGGTAGATCTTCTTGAGTCAGACCAGATATACCACTAACTAACTCTAGCAAACCAAGCCTCACAACTAGATCAATTAATTCTCCTCTGCATTCTGGCAGCTGATCACCTGTTCAAACACACGGGCATGTCTCAGAAAATCATGAACTAAAGCAACAGATGTGAAAATAATAGCTCTAAAAGCAATTTTTTCTGCTAAAAATGTTCTATCCATCTACTGATTTTGAACCTGTAGTAGTTGCATCAGCAGCAGAAAAGGCTGTTTGGCTGCCAGTTGCTTTAGACAGAATCCTTCCCCCAGTTCTGAGAGTGGTGGAAGGCAGGCATCCCTGGGAGGAGGAGCTATTAACAATTCCCAAAGCTGAGGAGGAGTTCAAGTGTTCTTCCCAGTCCTGATCTTTCGATGTCCTAACAGATGAGAGCCATCTCAGCGTCGAAGGCAAAGAGGTTTTAGCATCAGATGGAGATCCATAACGGTTAGCAAAGGCATTCTTAAGATAATCAAGACCAGCAGGTCCCTTTAACAAAGGCTCCATTAATCTTATGCGGGCTTTGCTTACTTCTTTCTTAAGAATCTGTCATAAGAGCTTAGTTAAACATAAAAACAATTAAGGAAAAAAACAAAATCTAGGAGGTATCCAATCTCTAAAACATACCTGAGTCTGTTCTAGGACAAACTGCAAGCCCTTGATTAGAGCCATGACACATGAATTTTTTGACTCGTCTCTTAATTGGCATATTTCATTCAACTCCAGAAATAAATTATGGTGTTTGGCCTTGATTGTCTCCTCGTTGGCTGGAGCGGAAAGCTTTTGCAAAGTGACCAGTGAAAACTCCAGAATCTTTCCAAGGTAATCGACATCCAGGTTACCACCTGATTGCAGAACCTTCAGAAACAAAGAAGAGAGACACGTCAGAAGTGGAAGAGTTAAGATTCAATATTCCAATTTAGAAACTAAATAATCATCACACACCAAAATTATAGACAGGCTACTACCTGGGAAAAAATGTCTAGATCAATTGCTGATAGAATATCCTCCTTCCAGCTTTGAGGAGCCATCTCACAAATTTCATCCCTGACCTCTCTCATGAGTTGAACAACTCGATCATAGTTTGGTTGTTCCTGATTTATGGATTCCATGATGCTATCCCAGAAAGCCTTTTCCATTGTCTGCTTTATTTTTCCCTGAAAACACACAAGCAAATCAGGACTCAAAAATTTTATAGACTGCCATCAGCAGGTGCATTTTCTATATATTTCTGCGTGAGAAAATTTATCTTCAAAATGACTCTAAAAAGATAACTTCTGGACATAGACATCCTCAAAGGCCAAAATATTATTTCAACAAAAATAACTGCCAGATGGTATTATAACAATAAAATTACAATGATGCACCAACCTCGATGCTACTTTGGCAGTGATCAGCAATACCTAAGCCATCAGAGAAACTATGGTGACGTTCATGGAGAAACTCATTCACAAAGAGTTCGTTCTCAGTTACCAACTTCTCATCAGAAGAGCCCAGCTGACCATCTGAATTGATTCTACCTGCAGACAAGCTGGACCCTCTAGGCAAAGAAGGTTCAGACTCATTAAATAGGGAGCGAACCACACGACTAGGCTTTCGGTTACTCTCAAGTGGAGTGTTTAATTCTGTGGAGCTAGCAACAGGTGAAAGAGAAGGTGAGAAGTTGAATGGGCTTGTGCTAGTACTTTCATTTGCTTTGAAGAATTTAGATCGTGTTTCAGATAAAGCACTCTCCATACGCTCAATGCCAGCATCTCCACTCAGGTGCTGCACCTTTTCTCTTAAAAGTTTTTGATCTTCAGAGACCTGCATCAAGAAATATATGTAAATAAACTTACACAAGATATTTAACAGAACCCCTTTTTGTTACATGACAGCCACCTCACCAGAGCTCAGTCACAAATAGAAACCTTTTGAAGAAAAAAAATCCGATTACAAAGGTGCTTAAATACATATAAGAGGAATAAAATGTTCAAGGCAGGAGACAAGGCATGGAGAAAAATTGGATAATAAAAGAAAAAAATTCATCACCAGGAAGAAGAAGAAGAAGATTCTGTAAACTGGTATTCAATAAGAAAACTCAGAATTGACATGGGTAATTACCTGATGCTGAATTGCTTTCATATCATGAGTAAGCCTATCATTATCTCCTTCTGGAGTCAACTTGCAAGTTTGAATCATAGACGCCTCAAGTTGGCAAGCTGCCCTAACCAAATCCTTCTCTAATAATTGAGCATCTTTGACCTTCCAGACCACAAAACAATGCAAGTACGAGCACCATGCTCTATCAAAAGCAGCAAGCTGAGACTTGAAGGTGAAACGTTTTAAAGTTGCTGAATCAGACTCTTCATCAGAACTCAGTACAGGCCCCTCTAGTATAATTTTTACCAACAACTCAAACATCTGGACAAATTCTTCGGCAGACTTAGCTAGAGAAATCTCACGCTCTCCCATTCCACTGAAAACAGCGTCTGGATGGCCCAATATCATATAAGCACAAAGAACAACTCTTACTGGATACCTTGATGACCTAGCTGGGTTCCTGTTTGATTCCTTGACTGAGCTTACTCTCTTTGTCTCCCTGCTTCTTGTAGAACTCCTAGGAGTCACCTTCTTTTTTGGGGTAGCAACCCGTTTAAGCAAGTGATCAATATTATCCAAACTAGATAAAATATTAGCAGGGTCAACCACTCTTGATACTTGAAGGCGGCTCTCAACCCGGTCAAGTAAAGCTTTTGTCGTCTGAATTGTGGAAATTGATTCAATCAGACGGGCAAGCTGCTCAAAAGGCATTGACTTGACAGATTTCTGATTAATCCCCAGAGCATCATAAGCCTTTGCCAGGGCAAAAGTTGTTTTCGTCAGACTTCGGAATTGCCTCCAGCACCTACAATGAGCAATGATGTTTAGGTTGATGATTTTGAGTAATTTCAAGCAAATTTAGAGGAAATAATTGAAGAATATAATAGCTACACGGAATAGGTGAATGATGCAAACCAGAAAGAAACTCAATAGGAAAATTCACTATACTTCAGTTTCGAAGAACAAAAAATTAAGCTCCAAAGAATCTTAGCACATTGCTTGGCATAAAAAGTCATCCTAGATTCTAACACTAGCAACCAAAAGATTCTAATTTAAATGCAAATAACCTTGCTAATTTTCTGGAAAGAATCTCTGCTTGCTTTGGCATTCTATTCCAATTCTCTCGCACGTGACCACGCAACCTTCCTCTGTGCCTGAGATATTCTGCTCTTTGCCTTTTTGCCTAATTAATGAGTAATACCGTGAAACATGAGTAAAGTCATGGACAATCAAAGACAGTGAGTGACATAAGAAAATTTTGAATGCAAACAACTTCAAGCAACTATTATACCCTTTGTAATCTATCTTCCAACTGGTCCTTCATTTTCCTTCTCTCAATCTCTCGCTGGTTGGATACAGACTTAGCTATGTGTTTCACTTGTGACACTCGAGCATGTGCCCTCTTCTTCTCTGCTTCCAGCAATCCAAGTCGCTTTGCTTCAGCAGCAACACGTTTTTGGTGAATTGCAGCACGTACACGCTCCTTATATTTGCTCTCTCGAGCCATCCTGCGTAACAATGATTGAGATGATCTGTCTCTCAAGGTAGCCCTTCTTTGTCTGCGAGCCTTGAGTATAAGCATCCTATTAACCTCTGCCTGCTGAACACGAGATTCCACTTTTGTCCCAAGCTTCACACGTTCATTCTCATAACGCATTTTTACTCCTGTCTTAGCTGCTTGCCGCAATTCATCTAACCTTGCCAAGCGCCTCTGAGACTTTGCTAAAATGCTCAGTCTGTAGATTTGCCACAAAATTAGCTCAATGGTCCAAATAAATCAAAATCCAAATTCCATTGGCATATGAAAAGAAATCTTGTTTAACTATTAATTATTCCTGAATAGAAGCAAATTATTTATAAACATATTATTCCAACTACTTTTATCATGAAATGACCGTAAAGAGTCTCAAGCTTAAAAGACTATCCTATTTCTCGGTATATGAGAGAAACTGGTATAAACCAAATAAGTCTAACCAAGATAGGTAAATCGCAGCGTGGAGAAACTTGGAAACTGTGACTTTAACAGTACTGTACATAAATATTTATTACGGTAAACTACAACTATAACGTCGGCTATTCAACATCGAGAACCAACCTCTTCTGCTCGGCGGCTTGCAGCTTAGCTTCTAGTCGCTGGCCAAGATCCTCCTCCTGAGATGAGGACCTGGAAGGGCTTCTTGGTTTTGAACGTGCCTTGCACGAGAGTGTCTCATAGTGCTTCTGCAACAGGTAAAAGAAAGAGGGCACTCATGAGCATCCGTCTGAAGGGGAAAAAATTTGGCAAAGCGAACTTCCAAAATCCTCAAACATGCCTTGAAATTTAATATTTGTTGAAAGATGAAAATTATGGTTAAGGCAACATTGGGAAAAAGTAAGAATAATTAAATTTAAAAGGGTAGAAGTATATATGACAAAAGAAAAAAGACTTAGGATTTATGTAAAAAGGAAAAAAACATTACAAAGGAAAAACGAGGGAAGGAAAGAGAAGAGGAGCGCCCCGGGGGGGCATCCGTGTCGGGTGGAGGAACCATTGCATGCCATCAGTACAGAAGTTCTATTTAATTCCAACAAAAACGAACGCCGCGATACAAATTTAAAGAATTGACGGGAAAACATAACAAAAACGAAAATTCAGCATTGAAAACCATGGGAAAAGCACCACCGTGAAGGGGGAAACAAATTTCGAACGGAAAAGCATCCTCTCCTACCTAACATAGAAATAACCTTGTAAACAAAGCAAGGGAGACTATGAAAAGAACTGACGCGGAATGAAAGAAAAGGAAGAATTACTTTTCGAAACTGATTGATATTCTCCGCTCTACCTGGAAGCCGATGAATCCAATAGAAAAATAATTATGATCTTGGTGCTTCATAATCACCAAACTTTCCAAAAGAGAATTCATCATAACTCCAAATCACGAAGCGAAAAAAGCGGAAGAAAACACATAATTTTGAAGCCCCTCCAGTGTTAGTTCCTAAAATCAGTAAACTGCTTCACCAACCAAACTTAACTATTCCGAAATAAGAAATTACCTGTCTTCGAAGATCAGCATCTCGAAGCTTCGCTTCAATTTCCTCAACAGTCCTCGGAGACTTGCACTCCACATCAAGAAACCGTCGCCGGAGCCTCCTCGGAAGCCTCTGCGGCGACAAACAAGAGTTCTCATCACCGGCCGGGAATTCCATAGCAATCCCACCACCAGCGGTTCTGCCCGCCGATAACTCCACTCCGGCAGCCATCCGTCAAAACGACGCCGTACGTGCGCGCGTGAGTACGTGGTACGTACAAATCAATGTATGAACAGTGATCCACAAGGGAGACGAATATGAGGAAGGTGAAAACGATGATGAAGGGACGATAGACACAAATATATATACAGAAGAAATATTTCGAAATGATTATTAAAAATTAAAAACCGAAAGGTTGCGACGAGCCGACGAGTGGACACAGCTTTTTGAGCTTGAGTAAGAGAGAGAGAGACTAAAAATGCTTTTGTGAGAAAGAAGAAGAAGAAATGGAAATTGGAAGTGAAAAGCGACGATGGTTTGGTTTTGATGGCTTTACACTAATACAATACAAATTTTCTTTCTTTTTCTCTTTCATTTTCGCATTTCCTGTTCTTGTTTTGGGTCACATTTACTCTGAGTTTTTTCTAAGAAATGAAAATCGTACCTTCTTCCCGGAAAAAACCAAAGAATAATCCGTGCGAGAAATTGCTTGTTGGGAAGAAAGTTGAGAAAATTGATATATAAAGATAAATAATTTGTATCGAAATATAAAAAAAAGTAAAAAGAATTTAAATTTGTAGAATGCTCACAAATATACTTTTAGAAAATATACATGATTTCTTAATTTAATTTAACTGGATGTTGATTTGTATTCCTCCGTTTCTAAATATAAGACCCATTTTATAATATAAATGTTACACTACAAAATGGGTCTTATATTTAAGACCGGAGGAATATTTTGTAATGACAATGGTAAATGATAACTTTATATTTTATATTAATACTTTTATAAAAGGGATTAAGTCCAATTTTGTATTGTTATTATCTTATTATTTTCTCGTTATTGTTGGTTTTTTCAGCTGATTTATTTTTTAAAAAATTTATAAAGTTTTAGAAAATTATGAATCCCCATAACACATAAAATTATATGTAGTTATTGTTATTATTTACACATTACCTCCTTTTTTTTTATCATAATTCATATTTTTTTACACTTATTTTTATAAAAAGTTCGAACATACATTATCTCTTTCTTTTTTTATTTATGAAAGTTGTTAATTGACTGTGGTATTTACTATTTACTTGTAAACAATAAGATTATATTTCATACCCAAAAAAAATTTGTCACAATTTTTATAAACATATAGATGATATTAAGGCTTTTTTATCGGACTACTATAAATGGTAAAAGAAAACAATAAAATGCTATAATATTTAAAGTATTTACTGAAATACTATATTCAAAATTATTATTTATAAGAACTAGTTTAGAGTTATACACAAAGCGTTATCTAACAAAAATAAAATCGATTTCACTATTTTAGCTTGCGTTTAATTTTCTTATTGATTTATATTAAAAATAAAATAAAAATGGACTTGTCAATGTCATTACATCATAACATCAACATGTTTTACGGGCGGAATGCTCCTCCTTTTCCCAATTTATTATATGAAATGAATTTACAAATTAATTAATATGGTAAGATGACATTTTTGGCATACAATTTTTGTTTTGAATTCTTATTAAATGAAATAATTCATAAATCTGAACATTTTTTTGCCAAAAAAATTCTAGCATATTATTCATGTTATATTCTAGTAAATTGATTTGGCATAAAGTGGTTAGTTGATTGTAAATTTACGATAACAAGTTAATATTAATATTTTCAAACATGACATATAAGATGGTAAACATACCCAAGTCATTGAATCCTTAATAGTACTCCCTCCCATCTTAAATATAAAAAATATATAAAATTAATTAAAAGAACTTTTTTAACTTTAAATATAAGATTCCAGTTCAATTTATCTTTTAACTTTATAATTTTCATTGTAAATTGTCTATCTTATTTCACATATTAAAAGGAGATTTTATTCCGTTATAAAAAAAATTAAAAGAATATTTTAATAAAATTAACAACTATTTTTAAAAATGATTAGTTTAACTAATTTCATTCATTTCCATTAATTGAATATTTATCTCCCACGTCTAGAATCAAAGAAAAATAATAAAAATAATTGAAAAGGCTTGGGAGATTGCATCATAAACAAGGATGTGAGTTATGTAAATTTTTTTTTGGCTGTCCACCCATTTCACCGGAGCTTTGCTCCGACTATATCTGGATCCGACGCGCGTCGCGCACCTGATTGTGGTGGGTGAGTCTCTCAACGGGAATTTCTACATACGCTGAGACTCAAACTCGAGACCTCGCTTAAGCGATACCAAACCGCTTACCACTTGGACCAACCCCCGTTGGTTAAATTATATTATTAACATTCCATTGTTGCAAGCACAAGCGTCTCCAATATATGAACCCATGTGGCTAATCATGGCCCATGCCTTGTGGTGATCAAGCATTGCCTTTCATGGATATCATTCATTATGCTTGCACGTTATCTTAATATGCATTCCCATATTTAATAGTATAATATTCAATTCTCGATTTGACCTTTTGTATTTATTTATTTAATTAAACAACGCAACTTTCTTTAAATATTGATTTATTATTTGCATTTTGCAATATAATAATCATGTACAGGATAAATTTTTTTATATATATTTAAACCTTTTTTCAAATATGTATTTAAGGGAAAACTTATGGAGATCTTAAGGGTTGTATGATTTTTAATTTGCTTTCAACAATGAAATGATGATACTATGAATGTAATAAGAACGTAATAAGAACGTAATCATCTAACTACAATACAATTGTTAGTAATTAAAAACTAATTTATCAAATAATGGAATGAATAAAATTGAGGGCTAATAATGTTATTTTGAGTACATAAAATTTAATCTTATTTTAATTTTGTTCGTAAAATTCGAGACCAGTGGTTTTAGTCTCTAACATTTGATTGATCTTATTTTGGCTTGCTTAAAAATTTTGTTCATAAAATAACATTTTTGGTTCCTGAGATAAGGTTTCAATAACCAAAATCATTGGTTTCACATTTTAATCATCCATCAAAACTAAAATAATATCAAATTTTAGAAACTAAAAAATAGTATTAACCCTCAAATTTATTACATACCTTTTTTCACTTAAGAAAATGACATAGCTAATAGTCTGTTGTATATATCAATTCATTGTGGAGTGATAAAAAGATATGATTGTTTTTATATATATAATTTTAAAATTAGATTATTTCTTGTTGGAATTAATATATTGTTTTTCTTAAAGCATGGATTAAAAAAATATTAAAAGATACATGACTCATGTGATGCTTAGAATTCTAATGCTGGTTCCCATTCTCCTTCAAGTGAGCACGTTTCCCTCATGTGTATAATGACTGTTTTAGACCTTTGAATTAGTTTTAATAACACTACTATATTTTTAAAATTTTTAAAATTTTAACAAGGGTCACATGTTCTCAGTGGTTACTCAAGACTATTGGAATAAAATTTAAAAATAAATATTTTACAAAAACCAAAATGCCAGTAAATGAAAATGAAAATTTATGTCAGCTTTTAGAAAAAGGATTTGATAATACTAAATATTAGATAATTGTATTAAAAAGGACTGCTTTTATTAATGTACTTACAAACATACGCATATACAAAAAACTACCCATGAGTTAATTAATTATGCAAATTATAAATCTTGTAGACATGATCTTTATTTAAGATTAATCACATCGATTCAAAATATGCGCACATGTAATTAATGTGAGAAATCTTTATGAATATTCAATATAATGAAAATATTTTAGCTAATGATACTATCTATAGATCCACGGTCGATCCTTACCAAATATTTACCAATTATGAGAATGCACCAATTTTTTAATATCGATTGCATTCTATACCTCCCGTCCTTAAGACATAATTAACTAATTTAAATAGATTAAAAATGTTAACTAAATTAGTTAATATAATATTTTTTTTAAAACACCATAAGTGTCTTCCTTAATTTCTTCTCTTACTCTCCTACTTGAAAAGAAAATATCAATAAAGTTAACTTTGAAAAAAAACTGATAAACATGTAAAATAGATTTTACATATAGAATCAAAATCAACTCTCTAATTAGGTTTCATATTAAGGACTAGAGGAGTAATATTCATTTCAATCCTTTAAAAAAACAATGCAAAAAATTTTAGTCAAACTATTTATGTCCTTTATGGCAAAAAAAGTCTCATATACAACTTCATCTTTAATATAAGAGTTATATAACTAGTTTGTAAATATTAAAAAAGTTAACTAAATTAATTATTTATAATAAATGTGTGTAATCTTTCCTAAATTACTTTTGCTATCATATGCATTAGAACTTTTGTTTAACAGAAAGTCTTTCCTAAATTACTCTTGTTATCGTATGCATTAGAACTTTTGTTTAATGAAAACTTTTTAATATATACAGTTGTTACAAATATTACTTTTAATGAAAACTCTTTAATATATACTACCTCCGATTCTAATTATAAGAGCTAGTTGACTAATTTGAGGAGATTAAAGAAGTAAGTTGAGTTAGTTATTTGTCCTAAATAGGTATTGTCTTTCATAAAATATTCTTGCTAATTAAATATATTGACTAGAACTATCATTGTTAGAAGGGCTACTTTGGAAAAAATGTATAAATATGAAAGACAAAGTGGATTGGAATCTTATATTTAGGACCAAAATAAAAGTTAAATAGAGTCTTATATTAAAGACCGGAGGTAGTATAATTATTACAAAAATCACTTTAAAAAATAAATAAATATAATGAACAAAATAGATTAAGATTTTATATTTAAAATTAAAAACAGCATATAAGAGAGAGGGGAGTGGTTTGCAACGCCATACATGTGAGAATATATGCATTTGAGTAGCGATGTGGGGATTAAATTTAAGTGGTTCAGTTCTGGTCAAAAAAAAATTTTAGTGGTTCAGATTTTTTTAATTAAAAAATAAAGAAATCTGGATGATTAAATTTTAATTTCGAGATGTTTGGTGAAAGATAAATTGTGCAATTAATACATCTATGATGTAAATTAGATCCATGTGGCATGTGGGTGTGGATCTAGTGTTTTCCAAACAATGACCTAACCATATCATCCATTATCGAAATCATAATCATAATCAAATAATTCACCCCCAGTCTCAAGCTTGATCAATATGGCTTCGATTAGACTTCCTATGCTTCCTAACGTGGTTAGGTTTATGACTTTCTCATCGTTTAATTTGACTTTCTCCCTCAATTTGTCGTCTCCATGATAATTAATCTGGGGCCCACCAAAATAAAAGAGGGACATATAACACTATTCATCCCCATAAGAAATTTGAAAACCCACCGCAATGTTCCGTTGGGAGTTGTTCAATTTTCTAAAATCGATCCTGGATTTCGGCCACAAAATACTACTTTTAATTATAAAAGCCAGTTGACTAATTTAAGGAGATTAAAAAAGTAAGTTGAGTTAGTCATTTATCCTAAATAAGTGTTGTCTTTCCTAAAATATCCTTGTTAATCAAATGTATTGATTAGAACTATCATTGTTAAAAAGTCTACTTTGAAAAAAAATGTATAAATATGAAAGACAAAGTGGATTAGTATTTTATATTTAAAACTAAAATAAAAGTCAAATAGGGTTTTATATTAAGAACCGGAGGTAGTAGTTATTTTTGGGTCTAACCGGAGATTTTTGCATTAGTGTTTTAAGAAATAATTAGAAATAAATATATAAAAAAATTAAAGGAATTTTTTTTAAAGTAATCATAAGGGAAAGAAAACGGTTTTACAGCTCAACCCGAACAGTCATGGTCCGACTCAAAAACCTTTTTTTGGTAACAAAATTTTAGGCAAGCGGTTGGCACAAACCAAAGGCAGAAAAATTAACTTATGGTTTACAGAGACGAGTTTAGATAGGAATGTATATGTATCCTGTTGATCCTGATCCTAGCAGTACTCACGTTTCACTTAGCCGCGAATGTGTCTTCTCAAATGCCGTAACGATATTAGGAATCAAACCTTCTCTTTTTTATTTGAGGGTTCAATCCTTTGACCACTGTTCGACTCAATTTTAAGAACGCTTACACAGTCTTCGTTTATTATTTGGAAAAATATTTTTCTTCTACTCAAATTAATGAAAATCATGTAGAAAAACTAGAATAATTATTCATAGACAAGAAGGGTTTTTGAATTTTTTAAATTGAAATAAAAGAGGTTTAAAATAATTAACATAAAGAAATTTTCAAAAAAGCCAGCGACACCCCCAGGCAGAGAAAAGCCAGTGATTATGTGGATCGATTGATTATAATTTACAATATAAAATTAAACTTAACAATCTCATAACCTTCAGGATAAACAATGGGTAAAGTAACATTATGATCTTATTTTTTATGTATATTTAACATCCTATTCTTATTTGCAGTGCATCTAACAGCCTACTCTTATTTATATTACATCCAATACCATGATATTATTTTTCAAGTGCGTTTAATATACTAATGTTTTTTTTCGTTATGCTTCCACTACAACTAAAATGAGGTATTAAACACACATGAAAAATAAAATCCCCTTGGTATATGCTGGTTACTATTTTTATTATACTACCTCTGGTACTTAATCCTACCTCATGTCTTAATTATAAAACATCATTTACAGACTATAAACAAGATTTTATAATTAGGATAAAAGATAGTATATACTAATATTTTTTTTTTTGTTATACTTGCACTATAACTAAAATGAGGTATTAAACACACATGAAAAATAAAATCCCCTTGGTATATGTTGGTTACTATTTTTATTATACTACCTCTGGTACTTAATCCTACCTCATGTCTTAATTATAAGACATTATTTACAGACTATAAACGAGATTTTATAATTAGAATAAAAGATAGTATATACTAATATTTTTTTTTTTTGTTATACTTGCACTATAACTAAAATGAGGTATTAAGTACACATGAAAAATAAAATCCCCTTGGTATATGTTGGTTACTATTTTTATTATACTACCTCCGGTAATTAATATTATCTCATGTTCTAATTAGAAGACATCATTTGCAGATTATAAACGAGATCTTATAATTGTTAAATTAATTATTCGTAGTAAGTAGATGTTATCTTTCATAAAATTTTTATTAATTATGCCTGTTTAAATTATAAATTAACAGTAATTTTTAATATATATAATTACTATAAGAATTATTTGAAACAAAATAAATAAATATTAAAGATAAAGTAAATTTAGGTTTAAAATCAAATTAAAATTAAATTAACGGTTATATTTATCATTTATATGACTTCATATGGATGTCATGTCCCCGCAACTGCGAAACGGCCAGAGAGGGAGGCGCTTTTCAAGCGTGAGTTTGCCACGTCATAAGAAAATCCCACGCTCGGCTGCGAAAATGATACAAGTACTCGCCTTCTGCAGCAATTACGTGTTTCCCTATACAATCGTCCCCGCTTACAGGAATGTTCGAGGCTTCTAGCTCTAGCCCTATAGGGCTGCATCCACAGCCTTCTCAGAAAGCAGGCTTACGTGTTAGTCACACAGCAAGTGGGATTATCCATATTTTTGTCTATATTAAAAAACTTATAAAATGATAAAATCTCATAAGAAAATTTGAAATTATTAAATCTTAAATAAATTTTTTTGACAAAAATATGTTCCTTACGTACATGATTCACCCTCACTTCCCACCTTGGGCTGCATCCACAGCCTTCTCAGAAAGCAGGCTTACGTGTTAGTCACACAGCAAGTGGGATTATCCATATTTTTGTCTATATTAAAAAACTTATAAAATGATAAAATCTCATAAGAAAATTTGAAATTATTAAATCTTAAATAAATTTTTTTGACAAAAATATGTTCCTTACGTACATGATTCACCCTCACTTCCCACCTTGGCTCAGTAGGCCTCTTGTTTTTCTCACAGTACTTATAAATTTAATGTTGTCAAAACCTATTAAGAAAATGTTTGGGTCTTTGGGAGCTCAGCACTTTAAAAAAAATTATTTTTATACAAATTGAAATAAAATTCTTCTCACATATTTATTTTAAACTCTATAAAATCACTTCTAAAATCGCGATTTTTGTTTTTATCCAAATACTCCCATAAACTGTTGTTACTAAACCTCATTTAGGATTTAGTAATTTTAAGCTTTTTTTGTAATTTTTTTAAAAAACTCTATTTATTTTAAATTGAGATTGAGACTAACATAAATATTTTTTAAATATTCGATTTTAATTTATAATTAAATTTCAAAACTTATAACAAAAATATAAACATATTTTATTGAATATTAATATTAGTATTATATGACATTTATATCACAGGAGTAAATCAAAGATAGTTAATTACTGAAACATTCATTAAAAGATTTAAACTTAAAAGTGACAAATATTTGAATAATATTATGCCACATTATATAAAATTAATAAAATGTCTTAAAAGATACTTTATAATTAAAATAAATAGAAGAGCATCCTCCTAAACTATTTCTAAGGGGCACCAGTTGGTATAATTTTGCTCCTAATATATTAAAATTAGCGTAATTTCTTTTTAAATTAAGCGACTTCAAAATCATTCCTTTTCCCTCCCTTCAATCCCATCTCACCCCACATCCCCCAGCCCACTTACCTATCTCTCTCAATCAGTGAGACTATTTTTGCTCCCTTACAAAATTAACTAATTAACTCTTCTATTAAAAACAAGAGTTTTAAAATGTAAATTTATTTTGAAAGTTTTTATTCAAAAGCATACTCAAAATTTTTTTTAACAAATATGTTTTAAAAGTTTAAAATCGTAACAATATTGCTCTTTACTTTAAAAATACTATCTGTTAATGTTATTATTTTAATAATTAATAATATTTTTAATAATAAGAAGCAACATTGCTGTGCTTTTAAATTTTGGAACAAATTTACTTTAAAAAAACTTTCAAATATTCAATATTCTTAAGTAAAAACATTTAAAACAAATTTGTACATTAAGAGAGTATTTAAATAAAATCAAAACCATACTTTTAAAAATAATTTTATAATATATAAAATAAATATGTAAAAAAATTTATTTTAACTTATAAAAAATACTTTTACTGTTTCCCAAACACCCCAAATTTGAGCAGCTTCCTTTGTAAAACGGCTCAAAAAGCACGTTGTGAAGAGGAGAAAGCAGCTAGGGGTGTTCACAGTGCCCAGTAGCCCGATATGCCTGCCCGGGCCCGAAGAAAAAAAGCCTAGCCCAGCCCGAAAAATGCAGCCCGAAAGAAAAAAAATACTTCTGGGCAGGGCTGATCAAGGGCAGGGTCGAGCCCCGGGCAGGGTACCCTGCCCTGCCCGGAGTATATGTAATAATATATAATATATAATAATACATAAAACTTTAAATTGATAAATTATATTAATATAATATTTTAATTTTCCATTTTTCCCTCTTTTCCCCGTTCGGTTTCGCTCTCCCTCTCTGATTCATTTTGATTTCAAATCTCCAAATCGGATTTGCGCCCTAGCTGAGCTCCTCCCTCCTCTCGCAAGCTTCTGCTCAGTGCTCACTGCTCACCGGTCACCGTCGGTTCGTTGTCGCCTCGACGGTAGCCTCCAGTTCCAAGGCTCCAGCTCGGTTCAAGACTTCCACGGTTATTTCAGATCTCCAACTAGCTGAGCTCCTCCCTCCTCCCGCAAGCTTCTGCTCAGTGCTCACTACTCACCGGTCACCGTTGGTCTGTCGTCGCCTCATCGGTAGCCTCCAGTTCCAAGCTCCAGCTCGGTTCAAGACTTCCATGGTTCCACTCAAGCTCAGCTCGCCGAGACCCTCAGACGCCGACCAGTTCCAACTTCCAAGCTCAACTCACCGAGCAGTGACATCACCTTCGTCTTCGCATCCTCTCAACCTCAACTCACCAAGCCGCCAACCAGTTCCAAGCTCAACTCACCGAACACCAGCAACGACTAGTTGACCACCTCCGTCTTCGCATTTCCTCAAGCTCAAGTCACCGTGAGTGCTCACCGTCGGTCTCTTCCAGGCTCCATCTTCCTCTATCAACTCAGCTTTGATATTCGGCCAGTGAGTTTATTTTCCAGGCCGTTGCATATCGATTTTCTGTTTGGCTGGAAAATTGTTCTGTTTCTATGTTCTAGCTTTACTCTTCTCCTCTGTATTTTTCATCAAATGGGACCAATTCAGTATCATTTATGTGGGAATTATAATTGCTTGCTGATCATTTATCTGGGAATTATAATTATTTCTATGTTCTGTTTCTACGGTCCCTCCCATTGCTTTTGATGTTATAGATCAGATAAAGATTTGAACAAGGATGTCATTGGAAAATTATTTAAGTTATAATAATCAGTAGTTTAAAAAATATGCTGTGCGTATCCTGAAGATGTATGGACAGAGGTAGCTTGAAGTAAGTTGAAAAATTAGCAAAGAAATTACTTGCATGCTTCTTGTGTGGTTTAAGCGAAAGGGAGATATATGGGTTCTTTAAAGACGCCAGTGCCATGTTGGGAATTCATCACAGGTCTACACCAAAAAATTGGTGCATCCTTTAAAATCTAGAAGTACATTTTTTTTTATTGTTTACTTTCTAATATATTAAACTTTGTTATTTTTATTTGTATTTTTTCAAGTGTTCCATCCTTTTTTGGAAATTATGGAGATTGATGCCAAGTGCAAACTGTTCAATTTTCTAAGCTCTAATTACAATACTGAATCTTGTTTTGAATGGATTATTGATGTTATTTAATTGGATGTTTGTTAAGACTTATTTTAGATTATTTCTGGATGATTTTAATGTCTTAAAATATAAAATTATGAAATGTGATTTTCAGGTATGGATAGAATTTTTCTTTTTTATGATATGAGCAGAGCATCGGTTTTTGGGCAATAAAACCCGCCCAGCCCAGCCCTGTCCAAAATGGTTCGGACTTCCATGGATAGGGTTGCTATGTAGCCCGCACATACTTTGAGCTGGGCATCGGAGAGAGGTCTTGTCCTGTCCAGCCCTTCCCACTTGCAGGCCTAAAAGCAGCCACGGATTTTCAACCATAAGAAACGCTGGGGTCAGTGGGGCCCGCCCGGGGATGCCGTTTGCCAGAATTTAAGTGGCGTATGACCTCGCTTACGCGGACACCACTGTCCTTTTAATAACCAAAAAAGACCACACAGATGACGTGGCAGCGTGTGCAAGAATTTCCACTTTTCCGCTAATGTAGGTTGACACGTGCTTGTCCCCACCTATTTCCCTTCATTTATACCTATCATCCACCTATTGTTTTACTCCTATTTGCCCCTTTAATTAAATTATTTTCATGGTCCTTAATTTGTGGGCATCCTTCACCCTGCAATTTTATTTTTATTTTTTTAAAAAAGAAGGATAATAATTAGCACTCCCAGGAATTATAAGATTCGGGTAAGGTGGGATGTGGACTTGGATCCCATGGAATATATATGGATGTTGATTGGGTTAATATTCCCTCCCCCATTTTCCCAATTTTGGTGGACCGAAACCTTAGCCTGTGATTTGTTAGGTCTAGTATACGAACATTATCTTGTCTTCAATTTAAGCATGTTTTTTTATTTTAAAATTTAATATTAAAATTAGTTGACTAGTAGATTAAGAAAATTAATTAAATTGTATATTTGTATTATCTTTTTTAAAATACCTTTACTAATATATATTAATTAGAACCATCATTTGATAAAATAATTAACATATACAACTACTATAGGGACTATCTTGAAAAAATACGGATAAATATAAAGGAAAAAATAAATTAAAATCTTATATTTAGAATAAAATTAAAAATTAAACTAATTCTTATATTAAAAACTAGAAAAAATACCATATTTAGCCGGTTTTTGCATGTAATAAAAAACCATTTGACTTATTACTAATACTCGGGTGTCATATCAATTACTACCCTGATCATTAATATAAAAATGTTATTTTATTAATTTAAGTAAATTCATAAAGTGAAATAAATTAGTTAATATAATAAATGTAACGTGATTTTCTTAAAATACTAATGTACTACTTTCGATTTTTAATATAAGAGTTATTTGACTAATTTGAACGGATTAACAACATTTATTGAGTTAGTTATTTGTAATAATTATGTGTTGTCTTCTCTAAAATATCTTTACTAATGCCTAATCATGTATTAGCTAAAACTACCATTTGATTAAACTTTTAACATGTACAATTACTGGAATGACTACTTTGAAAAAAATGAATAAATATGAGAAACAAAGTGGATTAAGATTTTATGTTTAAGACCAAATTAAAAGTTAAACTAACTCTTATATTAAGAATAGAAGATAGTATAACATCATATTGTCAATGGTTAGTTGCTTTAGCAGTAATGCCACTTATTATGTTTGGACAAGGTCTTGGATTTGAATTCGGCGTTAACATGTTTGTGTGTACGTGTGTATTTAAATTGCATTAAATTAAAAAAATTAGATTATATAGTTAAATTCATTTTAAAAAATAATAAATACAAGGGAAAAAAGAAATTAAAAAATTATATCTAAGATAAAATCTAAATTCTAACCCCTCTTATATTAAGGGTAGGAGGGAGTAGCATTTTATTTGCATATGGCCAGAATCAATTTCTTTCGAAAGAACTTTTTCTAAGAGGTCAACTCTGTTTACAAAAAATTTAAAAACAACGTCTGTAACTTTATGTTAATTTTGCATCATTGGTTAGTTCTGAAAGGATTTAAGTCTAAACTTTGCATTTTGAACCTTAAGGTTGGGCTTGTGAGAAGCAAAGCACTTTGAGTTTATTCCAACCTTCCCACAATTTATTTTCAATGAATAGACTTTATGTCCTTTTTTCGCCATAAAAAAAGAGAATCTTTTTGTGGAAAAAACAATATTCCAATCACAAGCATAGTATTATTATTAGGATCAGATGCAATTAATCTTGAACGTTAAGTTATTCCAACATGGGAAGTCACTGCTAAAATTGTTCATACCGTTTTATCCGGAAAACGGTGAAGGAATATTAAATAAAAAAGAAAATTTCACTTGAAGAAGAATTTTCTAAATTAAAGCATTTAAACAAAATGATCTTTGGGATTACAAAGTTTTCATTTCTCGTCTTGAATATTGATTTTCCATTAAATTTAAACTTTTAGTCTTTTGAGTTTTAGAATAACTTTAAAATTAAGTTACGTATGTCTATTCTTAATTTCATTTACAATGTATAACAATCTCTTTTATATCTAAATAATCGAACTGAATTTTCTTTGGATTTTACTGAAATTATATAAATGCCTTTTGTTTCTTTGAAAAATATGGAAACCTTTGCTCGAATGAAAACTAAATTAATCATGTATCCATTGAGTTATGTTGAAATTATCAAATTACAACAAGCCCCTTTTTATTTCTAAAAACAGAGATATTATTTAAAAGTAATAATGGACATACGTGCACTTTTAACTTAATTTTGAGAGACATATGCAATATATTATTTATTTTAACTGACAATGTATATAAATTTTCAGAATAAAAATTTACTCCTCCGGTCCTTAATATAAGACCTAATTGTGGAGTTAATTTTGGTTATAAATATAAGATCTATTCTTATATCTATCAATTTTTTTCAAATCACCCCTATTGATACTCTCTTAACCATAATCAA